AGTTATCTAATACTGTAATATAGTGATGAATAATAGCTTTCCCAGGACCTTTACGAGTATATTACAAAAATTAAATATTGTATTTGATTTAAAGTACATATAATATACATATTTATTACGTGCGTGTATATAATAATTACATAAGTATATTATATACAGATTTATGTATACTAGATTATATTTATATATAAGAATGTTAAAAGTGACTGCAATAATACAAAATGGAATCTGCAAAACAAAAAAAATTTATTTAATAAAATTCTATTAGGCAAAACTATGTAGGAGATCTATGTATACAATATAAACGTCCTCTACATGTTATATGTATGTGCAATGTAAGTGGAAAACATCTTAGGACAATTTTTTACAGTTTATAAAAGAAATTCTAAAACAAAATTCAATATAACTGTTATAATGTATACATAACAATTGAAAATGTTAAAAATATTTTATAAAATTATTAATTTTTTTTTTTTACATTTGCAGAATTTCTTACAATCTCTTCAATTCACTAACAATAAAATTGAAAAATATGGAAAAAATATTATGTGGAGCAGTAAATATATAAGGTCAAATATGTTTACAGAACTAGTATACCATTATCAAAAAGGTAATGCTCAAAAATGCCTCCATATTAAAAAATTTTAAAATTAATTATGATATTCAATTAAACGAATACTTATTATAAAGGGTATAGAACAATATATTCAGGATCGTGTCCAGGGTTCTCCCAAAAATTTACTTAATATTTTTAAAATAATCTATATTTTATGTAATACCATGTAAATCACAGCACTTATATAAGATTATATTTTCATATCTATAAGATTACATTACAGAAATTTCAAATTAAATTACATATTTACATTTTACAATTTAACAGTGAATAATGTTAATATTCTTTAACATAAATTTTCATAATTTAAACATTTTTATTGTTTTGTGTTCTTTGATACTACAATAATGTAACTGTATATGTATTAATGCTCATATATTGAGAAAAAAAAATCGCATATACAGATATCAATGAATATATAAAGTATAAATAATAGCTATATATGTATATATACTTAAGAATTTCTTTACATATATACAAAATATTTGGGTAGTATATAAGAATTTAAAATCTTACTTTAGGATGTAATGAGCTTGCGTACAAAATCTTCTTATATATTATAAATATATATGCTTATATATATACATATGTATATGTGAAGAATATATGTATATACTTATATATAAAAGAAATAACTGGATTTATGACAAACCCCATTTATTGGTAGCAAATATAAATTTTATAATGGTTGGAAAATATCATTTATTTTCATATACTCAAAAGTATGTAAGTATATTATGTGCTTATCAATATATATAATGTTTGATTAATTCTTATAGGTATATAAAATATTTATATACAAGGACATATTATATAAAATACAGATATGTGATTGGTTAAAAAAAAAATGAAAATGTTAAGATTAAAGTAAAAATACAAAAAAAAAAATTTTTTTTTTTTGTTACCCTGGATTTTTTTGGAAATTGTTTTTTTTTTTTTTGGGGGTAAAATTATTATTATCACCATATTTGGCAAGAAAATCGAATAGGAAATTACCGGGATCAGCATTTTGTTATTGTGTACAGTTTTTCTTTTTGATTTTTATTTTTTTCTTTGTAATAAATTTTTTTATTTTATTTATTTTTCTATTCTTTTATTCTCTTTTTGTATGTCTGTCCATGTCGCATTAAAAAAATGGTTGGCGTCATACATCCTCCATAATCAAATTCAAATTCTCACGAAATGAAAGGAAAAAAAACAAATCTTAGTTCAATTGTCTTGAACTTCACAATTATTTTGAAACTTTAACACTTTGTATAAAAAGAAAATCTTTTTGCAATGAAAACCATAATCAAGAATAATAATTAGAGATTAAATACCTATACCTAATAGAAAAAATTTATTTAATTGTTAAGTAGCCAAAAATTATGCACTTGATAAAAATAAAAAAAATTATGTAAAATTTTCACTCTTACCATGTTAACGTGCCCCTTGTAGGAGCAGATTTAAAAATCACCACATCAGGAGATTTTCAAACACCCAAATGAAAATTTTATTATTTCGTAACGTGGAAACCGATAGTTAAACATAATGCTTTTTGATAACTTTTCATATACAGGTGATTAAGATTTTTTTAGGGTTTAGAAACATCCAACATTTATTTCCAAAAATGTCTCTGAACAAAATTTCTATAGTATATTTTTCAATACCTATATTATTTTAAGTCTTTTTTGAACATTTCTTATGGGACAGACAGTTTCGCAAGGCTCATTATTTGAAAAGTTTCTGATCAAAATAGGCGTAGTACTTTATAATCTTTTCTTCGGTATCTCATATATGAATGTGTTTGTTCCATCTTTCAAGTGTTCCATGTTTCCACAATTTCTCTAATTTACACGGTATTATAATCGAAAAAAAACACAGACCACAATTGACCTATAATTCGGTACGTCCAGTATTGTTAGCCCTAAAAGAAAAAAAACCTGTAATTGGTAAAAAAATAAGTTATAACTTAAAGGATAGAATACCAAAATTTTTGAGATAACTTTTATTTTGGGATGTATTTGCCTAAAATTTTGGAAATATATAATTTAATTAACTAAAATTCTCCAGAATTAATGCAGTTAGATGATCCTTTAGGGTATTTTATTCTTATATAGTAAAAACTATTTGTTTCTATAAGATTCAATTTAACTTTATACTTGCTAAAACTTATTTTATTGAAAAAGCGGAAAACACAAAATCATCCATTAAAGTGCTTTAAAGTAAAATAAAAAACATATTGCAAGGTTTTATATGTAATTTTTCCCATAAACTCATTATACTCAAGTAATTCTAAAATTGAAATATAATTTTCTTATTTCAACAGATTTTATAATAAAAAAAATAGGTTAATGGCACTACCCCACGGTGCGTATGATCAACCGTTACTTGAATTTCATAGCTGAATTTTCGAAAAACCTCCTTGAATTTCGTTTTGGTAATATTTTAATTAAAAAATTACTAAAAACCAAATTATGTTGGATTCTTATATTGAAAACTTAGAAACTTGTATAGAAGCTTACATATTTTGTCATTCCGTAGCTTATTTTATAATTTGTTCATATAAATTATTACTTTTATATTAAAAACCATTCCCAACTGCACAATGTTCATTTTATTTTAGTTTCGCTACAAATTTTCATTCATATGAACACTAAACAAACTAAAATTTAATAAAACTACAAATATTTCAAATATTAAATTGAAACTTTTATTTATTAGTAATGCTCCTTCAGACGACTTTTATTTATTTTTATTTTTTGAAAAGACGCTTTTCGAAATTGTTTCATAATATCATCTTCACTTCGTCTATTACAAAATAATATTTGCTTAATGATTTTAATCTTTAAAAAAAGAAAAATTAAAAAAAAAATAAAAATTGTCTGAAGGAGCTAGAGACAATGAGAAATGAAGTAAATAAATTGCTTAAACTTGCTATAAGAAATATTTAAATTTTTATTGTATTTTATTTTCAAAATATTGCACAAATTTCAATAAAGAAACTTCTAAGAAAAGCATAGTAAATATTTTGAAATAAAATCGCTTGTTATTGGCCTCATTTTTGCCAAATCTAACTACAAAAAAAAAAGCGCTTTAAATGAATTATACATAAAATTTGTTGTTATTTTAAAAAATTTTTAATGTTCTTATTTTGCTTTAATTGTATATTGGAACTGGGTAGCAATACCCTTTTACATTGCTCCGAAATAGTTGCGATCAAGTTTTGTAGCTCAAAATAAGTACTTTTTTCTTGTAAATAGATTTTACTTATTCCCTTGTAATTTTTAAAAACGAAAACTAAGGGTGGAAAAAAGGCCACCCATTATACCCATCAACCACCTAAAGCTGCCACTGAGGCCTTTTTAACGAGTCTTCTCCAAGCGCACAAGATCGTCTAAGAGATATACAGTTGTATTGCTAACAAAGGTTAAACTTTGCTATTTTAATTTTAAATGTTATCGTAACATTTAAAATTAGATTAATGACAATATCAGCTATAATTTTAAAATTGTGACTGACTTTGTGTTAAAATTGTGACTGACTTTCGAAGGCTGGGCTCCTCGTAGTCAATTGATATAATAACATTTTATTATATTAGTACTTACATTTTTTTAGGCGACTGTAATACTTCTGCTACGTATTTCTTTTTTTTAAATCTATATTCAATTTATAGTTCATACCAACGCATAATCATGTTTGCGATGAATTTTATTTCAAAAGCAAAGTACTTTATCAAGAATTTTCGTGTGCTCTATTTGGCTGTTCCTAATACACCACCATTCCTAATTGTAAAATATTAATAGCAATATTCCAATTGTACTAACAAAATTTGAGTGTTCCAAAAAATTCATCAAATCTATTTTAATAGATCCATAGATAATAGAATAGTTAAGAATTCAACGCAGCAAAAATTATATTCAGAAAATCTTGAATCCTTGAATCCAAAAATGCATTAATACGGTATCAATTTATTACAATTCATAAGGGAATCTTTGCGACTTTGAAAATAAAATGCCAAGTTCAGATGTCAATTTGAAGTACAATGTTGTATAAGTTTTGCATAATAGCAACATAAACTGCATTTTCGAAAATACTCTTTCCTTACAGTTTTGTATTGCATAATTTTTTGAAAATGAACGAAATGCTCTTTTCTTGCAGATGATATATATGTGTTAAGAACCATAAACATTTAGATTTTTTATCTATTCAACCTTCAATGTTCACGAATGAATAAAACGACAGCAAAAATATTAATACTATTAAAAAAGTACAACTAAAAATTTTATAATCAAAAGTAAAACATATTTTTACTTTATTTTTCAGTGAAATACAAAAATGAAACACAAAAATTTTCATAATTTTACTCACACTTTATGTCTTTAGAATTAGAAAAAAAATTGAATGCTATCAAAAAGAAAAATAACAACTATTTTATTGAGACCTTTTGCAAATTTGAGTTTACAAAACAAAAAAACATTTAAACTAAAAAATAAAGTAACATCGAGAACTTATTTTAATAAATATAGATAATTATTATATAGCAACATGTATTAAATCTTAAACCAAGCTAATTTTGTCTATCAAAAAATTCTAAAAGGTATATATCAACATATATACAAACTATATAAAATTTCGCATAAATGCATCGTTTACAATTAAATAAATTAGCTCTAAAATAAATTTTTTCTCTCAAACTTGCAATGGGACCTGAATTTTTGACACATTTCTTTTTTATATGTTCATTTTTTATTATTATAAAAAAATTTATTCTAGTCTTCAATTTTTTATATAATAGTTAATTAAATTATGTATATATATTTATGTATACATAATTTCCAACATTAAGTATATAATTAATTTCATTTGCGTGTACTTCTACGCAATCCTTATTTAAAAATTGACTTAAATTAAATTTTACATCGAAATTACAATTATTAACTGTTAAAAAAAAAATTCCTAGAATTTATGGAAGGTTTTGTTTTTTGATGTTTTTAAGAAAAAAAAAAAAGCGCATTTATACAAAATATAAGGTCACTAAGTGACATGGAAAAAGGAATAAATAAAATCGCCATATATGATTCCAAAAAGGACAAATTACAAATATTACAAAAATACAAAATTATTTTTTAAGGTTTTAATGAGTTACTCAGGCTTTTTACATTTCAAAAGAAAAAGATATTTTACTGATAAAAATTTTTTAATTATAAATGATAACCATATCGTGATGTCAACTATTTTTAGATAAGTTTATTCACTTTAGGCATATCAATGAGTTTATATCTATTGAAATTGAAAACACTGTAATATATAAACCGTTCAATAAATCTATTTAAAGAGATATGTATACTATTTTCATATTAAATATTATAATTTAAAATAGACTTAAAGCACTTATCTTTTCTACATCTCAAATTACGAAATAAAATCACAAATCACATTTTGGAATGTTTACGCTCTGAGTATCAACAGATTTTCTTTACATTTTATAATGTTCAATAAAAATGTTCTCAAAAAGGGCAAAAAAAAAAAAAAAATTATGAGGGGGGGAAACTAGGTTAAAATTTTTAACTAATGAACTACTCTTAAATTGCTTCATTCAATCTTGTGATAATTATGTTTAATAATAATTAACTTAAAATAAGTTGTTACAAATTACTATTGTTGCCATTGTATCAGTTAAGATTAGCTCATAAGTCAAGTATCTTGTAAATCCTATGTAACGGACGAATTTAATAAAATTTTTTTGCTTGCGTTTCGCTTCGACTCCTGAAAATAATAAAATTAATGTAGTAATATCCGTAATATGATTATGAAAACTTATTAATATTTACTTGTAAAATTGGTATGATAATATAATTATTAAATTAACTATCGTTGTGGCTAAAAACATGGTTACTCCAACACAATTTTGCGTTGGACATCCTATTTGAGCCGAGGGTTGCGAAAATCTGAAAGTAAAAAAGGAAAAATTACCACAATTATAATAATACGTTTTCCAATTAAAATATTATGTATGTTTTCTTTAAACAAAAAATACGTAAGTTTTGAAATTAAAAGAAAAGCGACTAATTTTTGAATTTTAAAATAATATGCGCAATTATATTAAATAAATTTGGTGTATAACAGTTTAAAAAAATAATATAGGCTTACTGATATTTTGTATTATAATGAATAGCAATCAGTAAATAGCAATCAAATTATCTTATTAATTACAAAAATATTTTTAATTCCAATTTCCTTTATTTAAAAATTTATCTTAATCGTAACTCCATTGCTCATCACTGTAATAGTAATCATCATCATCTTCATCATAATTATCCCCTCTTTTTGTTTCAGGACATTCTGAACATCGATTTGCGTTTAAACCATAATTAACACAAACTGAACCAATGCACTCACAGCATCCATCATAGAACCATCTACTTTTTGCTGCTCCCATTGAACTACAGAACTCCATACATTTATTGTTTGATAAACAATTGTTTAAAAATATCACTGTACAATTAGGAAGCATTTCAGCAAAATTATTTTTTAAATTTTGCTTTTTCATTGTTTTACTATATAAATCGATATCATCCATATTATCATAAAATTCAAAATTCTCGGCATCCAAATCATTTTTCAAATCTTTACTTTTAGAAACTTCAAAATTAATTTTTAATCTTATTGTAGTCCATTTATCATCTTCATCTTCAGATGTGAGTGTATTGTACAACTCTGGTATAAAGTCGGGAAAATCCGAAATTTCTGATTTTAGTGATAAAACATCAAAAGTATCATTATGCTGAGGGCACAAATTTAAACAATTACAACATTCCAAAAATAAATTACCCAAACAGTAAAGGCAATCTTTACAACAAGAGCAGTTTTCTAATGTACACTGACAACTTTGCGTTAATAAACATTTTGATACAACTGAACCACAAACTAATTCATTGCAATCTTCAGTTCTTATATTATTAATACAGTGTATTAAAATTAATAAAATACTAATAATTTTCATTGTTTACTTAGTTTGAAAATGCTATCTTTTAATATACGTATTACAATTGATTACAATTATTTTAAAAACACAAAATCTAAGATAATTAAACTGCCGACACTAGAGAATGATAAAAACTGAGAAAGAAAATGACAAAAACTTTCTTATCTCTTTTGAAGTATTTACAATTTTATACCTTTTTAAAAACAATTTCAAATTCTTACCTGAATACAAACAGAAAAATAATTTTAAGTAATTAGGTTTTCTGTAAATTAAATGTCTGAATCTGAAGTTTAACAAAAATTTGTATACCTGTTAAATTTATTTAAGCGCCACATGTTTAAACAAATGGCTAGAAAATATGTTTTTACATTTTATGTTTATGAATTTTAGAAAGAAAATCGAACATGTAATGCTTATTGTTTTTTACCTGATGAATTCAATTCGTAATAAACTGATAAAAAAAAAATTGTAAAAACAAAATGTCTTGATGTGCGTAAAGTAAAAAGAGCATAAGGCTTTGTAATTATTAGTAAAACGATTTACTAATGTAAATACATATGATAACTACGGTTTGTAAATAATTTGGGTAATTCACAAACAAACCGGTTTAACAATACATTAAATAACATTAAAAATTTCAAAAATAAAAAAATTAACTTACTTATGACCAACTTGCTGCATTTCATTTTTCACTTGATTTAAGCCATCTCTCATTTCATGAATGATGCTTTGCATATCATATGCTCCACCAGCTTGCACTTGTGCAGTGGGAGCTCTAGCCTGATTTTGTAAAATTGAATTTGTTCTAGAGCTTACATCGTTCAAAACATTTTTTACGTCTCTAATATCATTTATTAAAACATTTATATTATTTATAACAATGTCGACTTCACTTCTAGTTATTGTCCCAGTAACTGTAATTGGTCCCCCACCGGCGACTTGTTGACCTTGAATTTGAGGTTGAGCCGATAGTAAACCCAAAGTTCTTTCTTGTCTACCAATTACTTCATCCATTTTACGAGATAGATCTTTTACAGAATCACTAATGTGTGACTGAACTTGAAATATTTGACGCAATTCTCTTTGATTATCAGATTCAAACCATTCATCAAATTCCTCGTCCTTATGCTAAAAAAAAAATTTCAATAAAATTTACTAAATTATTTAAAAATTGAAAATGTTTAACCTCATCAGGGTGCTCCCTTCTATATTCCTCTTTCTGTTTTTCTAATTTAGATTGATACTCTTGATATTCTCTAGCTAATTTTTCTGAATCTTCACCAACTCTATTAGGAGAATCTGCCAATGCACCAGGTGGATGAAGGGAAGTTGTAAGGAAATGGAAAACATCATGGTCGTCTGCCAAACCACCAGTTGCAGCTGACAAACCAAAGAATCCGTTTTTCGGTAAATGAACGCCATCAGCTCGAAGACACAATTCATAATCGTCATTGTTGTTAGTCATTCCATTATGGAACAAAACTGTTAGAATATTATTATAATATTCAATTTTTGCACGAGTTGGAAATGGTTTATTTCTAAAATCTCGCAAACACCCGGATAAAAGTTGTGTAGTTCCATCGTTTTGATGATCAAATGATTTTGTGCCATCGTTTAAAACGGCCATAATGTATGGATTGTTATGTTTATTGTCATTGTCAAAAGAATCAAAAAATATTCCTACACCATTCCAACGATCCGAAGAACCAAATACTGGACCATTGTAATCTCCTTGATTTTCTGTATACCAAAATGCTAACCCATCTGCTCCAACACGATTTCTTCCCGTAATTCTAAATGATATTTCAACTTCCCACCAGTCGAAGTTAGTTCTTGTTTTTGTCCAAATAGCACCTTTTTGCGATCTAAGTGATGGTGCTACACGAACGCTCTCTGAACTGGCAATGGCATCTAAAATAAAAATAGACTTTATTTTAATTATAGAAAATTAAATATTTAACGGTGTACATTCAATTTCTCAACAAATTGAAGAAAGAAACTTTCTTATATAAAAAATATTTTGTTTATGAATGTAAAATAACATGTTTTTTATCATTTTAATCAAAACAAAATAATTGGATAAAATCGGACGCGTGTCACTATATTGTATGTTATAGCAAACTGACCATTCGGGATTATCTGTTTCATTCGTTTAAGCTTTAAAAAACGATTAGTGAGAATGTGACGGAAAATATAACTGACGTGTAAGAGAATTTTTCCTCTTGAATATTTTGTTTTTGGAATATTGAATTAAAATAAAAATACTTACTTCCTCCATATGCCCAGAAAGGAACAGTTCCATCTTTTTGTGCTAAATAAGGTGGTTTAAACGAATATTTGTATTCGAACCGTCTATGAATTCCAGAACCAGCATTGCTGCTTACCGTTGATCTATTCAAAACTATTAAAAAGCCAAGAGCTAAGAATAAAAATTTTGATATAACTTTTTCAATCACTAGAATTGTCATATTTATAATTATTAAGAAAACATAAAATTTTAACGAATCTAATTTTTCCTTTTATTAACTCAAACAGAATAAAAAGCAAGAAAAGTGAAACCGACCCTAGACGTTGGTGATAGTTTTTTTGACATGAAGAGGTGTCAGTTGTATTGCTAACGAAATTAAATGAAAAATTTTGACAGCAATTATAATACTACTATTTTTTTTTTGTTGGCTGGGAATACGTAATTATTACTTTGTGTTCACACCAGTTTTCTTTTTACTATTGTGTAAATTTTATAAAATTTTAATTGGTGAATTATATTGCTTTTTAGAATAAGTTGAAATAACGGTTTTATTTCAACAATCTGCGACAAGTAGCAACAAAAATTAATACGAAAGCTTTACAATTTTATCAATTCGAAATAGGCTCAGAAATATAAAAGATTTGGCAATCAATTTAACTTTATTAGCTATGATTTAAAAAATACATAGAAATTTTTAAAAATTACAAAAAAAATTTTTTCTTTAAAGATTTTTTTTGTCGTTTTGGGCTCTTCTTATGCTAATATAATACAATATGCTAAAGCGAAAGTTTGTTGTTCTCTCATAGGCTACTTAAAATTACAAAATATGAATGATGAACGTGTTGAGGGAGCAAGTTGAATAATATACAACGTTGTGGAAAAAAATAAGACGTGCACTGTTCTTAGGGTTTTATAGAAAAGTGACTAATATTCACTTATAAAATTGTAACTGGTGAACCAATATTAAGGAACGACTAAAGTAGATAAGATTTACAATACTATTTGTATATTGAAATTTTTTTTTGGAATAAGTTAAAAAAAATTCCAACAAAATGTTTGTAGGGAAAAATATATATTTGCATTTGTTTTATGGGTAGCTACAAAAATATTTTGACACTTAGAATTTAGCTTTTTTTTTGTTTAGAATAATAAATTCCTTTCATTTATTTTTAGAAATATCTTTCAAACTACAAACTATATGCAAAATAGGTACCTTTAATTGTTTTAAATAAGTTGAATATAGTGGAAAGTAAAAATTATGGATACTTTAGAAGATAGACGGTTATGGATAGGAAACTTAGATCCAAGGATTACAGAATACCAATTATTGAAAATTTTACAAAAGTATGGTGATATTGAAAAATTTGATTTGCTTTTTCATAAAAGTGGGCCTTTAGCTGGACAACCCAGAGGATATGCGTTTGTAACATATAAAAGTACTAAGGACTCTGCTTGCGCTCTAGACAAATTAAATGGAAAATTGGTGGGCATCAAAAATGTTGCAGTTAGATTAGCTAAAAATATTAATTATGATGAATTAGAAAAACCCAAGCCAAAAATAGAAATTCCAGTTTTAGCTGCTGGAGTGTCTAAACAAAATAAAATTAGTAAGGAATTGGCAATAGAAGCAATTCAGGCAAAATTAGATGCATTGCAGAAAAATAGTGATGATGATTTTGAAATTAACAAAACAGCAGCGAATTCAACGCCTTTCATTCAAAAATATCAATTTAATAAAAATAATACTGAGAATCCGAGGCAAATAAAAAATTCTCGACATCCAAATCACAAATATAGAAATGTATCAAAACCATACAATAAAATAAGGCCTCCTAAACGATAGTTATTGCACATATTGATTTTATAAGATTTTTATTTTGTAATTAGTTTAAATTTATTTATGAGTTGATAATAAAGTGTACAAAATACTAATTTTAACTTTTAATAGCTTTTGAGTGTTTCAAAATTAATATATTCTTTTATGAATTGGTACCTAGTTCTTTAACAAAATCAAGAATTTACCTATGCGGGAAGAGTGGGGAGACTATTGTCATGCTTTAAGGAGGGTTTTTTTTTAAAAATATGTTCATTATATATTGATCATTGTAAATATTTTAAATGTTAGAATGTTTTTATAATTTTAGATTATTGTGTATCTATTAGTTTTTTTCAATGTAAGTTTGATATTAATTTTTTTCAATAAATATCAGTCATTTTTCTTATATTTTCTCTCATTATAATCAAATTTCTCTTCACCAATTTATGTTTTGTATATTTTAGTAATTTAATAAAAAAAATATAAAATTATCTTTAGTAAATATGGAATCCGAAGTTGCATTCGGATTTATGAACAAATAAAAAACAAACACGAATTAATTAAATTTCATTTAATATGCTTTCATACAAAAGTCTTACAGACCTTATTTTATACAATAAATATGTGCACAAGCAGGGTTTTATTAAATATATGCACTTTAAAGTCTGTCTTGGAAGACTAAATTAAGGAATCAGTATGTATATAATTATATTAAATGTATATATATGTAATTATATATGTATATAAATATATTATTTCTTTAAAACTTTTCAACGACGGCCGGCAACTGCTTCTTAGCCTTAGCCCAGCAGAAATTCTTTGTGAAATCTTCATAGAAATCCAATATGCAAAATTAAAAATTCTGTTTTATATTATGAAAAATTTTATTTGTTTGAAAAATATTTTTAATCCAAAAAAAATATTTTAAATTCAATATTTACATGGTTAAAATTAAACTTAGAATTTTTTTATATATTATAATTTAATCTGGTATAATGGATATTGATGAAATGTTAAAAATATGTAAATTGAACATTTTTATTTAATATTTTTGATTATTTTTATAGTTTCTGTTTAATAATTTTTGGTTTTATGAATTATTACGAATTTTTATACAAGGATATTTTTATTCTCTTAATTGCTTATGTTTAAAATAATTTAATTTTGAAATTTTGCATCCCTTTAAATATTATAATTCTCTCATATAAGTACATAACTATTTCTTTAAGGTTTATGACTGCGAGTTAATTACATATAAGTGTTTATAATAAAAAAAATATTCTTAATTTAATATTTAACTTATTCAGCGAAATATGTTTGCAGCTGAAAAATAAAATATAAGCTACTATACAAATTTTAAAACGGAAATAAATTTTAGGTTCATGATCTATATATAGGAGAAAAAACCAAAATGTATGTTTGTTAATATGTACCAAGTGGAGTATTTGGATTTTGAAGAACATAAATGAAGTCTGGTTTATATTGGGGATAATTGCCTTAGAACCCTGAAGAAATTCGAAACACTTGTTTAATCATTATTATAATCATGTTATAAACATTAAAATTTCAAATCCTGTTTTCTTATTAAACTTCATACAGTTTGATCAACGTAGAGAAACTATGTTGTTTGTTTTTATTAAATATGTAATACAGAATAAATAACTAAAACTCTTTTAATTAATTAACAACTAATAACGAATTACCGATTTTGATTTTTATTATGACACTTACATATTTTCGATTTTGATTTATATTTACCATAATGGGTGAAAAAAATGTTCATTCAACTTATTTTTAATTGAAAAAATATTTTATCTCACAACAATGGAAACAAAAAAAATTTTATTTATTTTAAACGATTATTAAATTTGGTGAAAACATTTATAATTGTAAAACTGAGAAATGAAATTATTTAATAAGACATAAAGCTAAGACCAAATACTTTCACATTATTTGGTTGGGTTGAAAGAAGATCGAAACAAATGAGACAGCATGGATTTGAAAATTAATTATTTCACCTGTCCTAACACATTTGTTACTATAAATTAAAGACAATCAGAATGTCTTCATACTTTCATTTCACTTTCAGCATATAAAGTCTAAACACTACGTGAATCAAAATCACTGTTAATCAAAAATTAAATGTGACAATCATTTTGAAAAATTTTGAAACTTACATAATAGTAAGTTGAACAAAGCAAAAAAAAAACTGCAACATTTTTTTTTTTAAATTACACACAACAGCAACTAAACAATGACCAAGAATATATAAGAAAATAAAAAGTTCATTTTTATGTCAGAGTTAATAATATTATATTAAAAGGAACAACATCATGTCTGTGCATTACCACGGGGGTAAAAATTTAATTTGAATTTTTAAAAAATCCCTTAATCATCGCATTTTTGTTCAGTGGGGTGCTATTTTATTTAAATTGTTCATATTTTATAATTGAAATAATGAATATTATAATTATTAAAATGAAAAAAACAAATAAGAATATGTATAATTATTGTTCTACATTATTTCATAATAATTTTTTAAAATTATAAGATTTATTCATAAATTTACACTTTGTTTTTTTTTTTTGAAAGAATTAAGTAATATTAATTTAGAAATTCTTAAAATATATATATATATTTTTTTGTAAAACAATTTTATAAATCTATTAGTACTTATAGCTGAAAAATATTTATACAAAATATAAGATTAATTATTTAAGTCACTAAATAAAAAAAAAATATGTATTTGCATGAATTTTTTTTAGTTTTTATTAAATTTATTCATAATTGATTCTGGTATAAGTACCTTTTTAAAAAAAAAAAAAAAAACTTTTAAAAAATATAAGATTGTTAAGTACCTTATTATTATTATTATTATTTTAAATTACTATATTAATCCAGGTTTTTTATTTTGTTATTTGTGATTAATAAGAAGTGTTTATTTATTTTAATTATATTTTTGTTTTCGTATCGATTTTTAAAATATATAATATAAATTAAAATTTATTTTAAATTTTTATTTTAACAAAATATCTTTTCAAAAATACGATATGAAACGAAAAAAAAAAATTATTTCCAAAAAGAATGTTATTGGCTTTTTATTTTTCCAAATATTCTGATTAATATTTTATTAATTCTTGTGGTTTTATTTCGCAGCAAACGTTATTGTGTTAATTAATTATTTTAAAATTGTTTCAATTAACTATTTGAGTTTCCATTTGCATTATGGTTGCATATGTTAATAAAAGTTCTTAAAAACATAGAAGAAATTTTGTTTTGTCTTAAATAATAAGTGAATTTTTATAACATAAACAGTTTTAATTGAAATATATATAAATTTTTTAGTTGGGTAAAATTATAATATCTTTAAAATTTTAATACCGCTTTTTATTATTTTATTTATTTTTTCAAAAACTTGCAAGAAACTTTCACTAAATATAAAATAGTTTTGATCCCAATTGTGTTACAAGAAGAAAACTTGTACTACATATGTATATATTTTTTTAATATATAGAACAATTTTTCAACAATATCTAAATTCACAAAAAAAAAAAAAAAATTATTAATTTTATTTCTATTACAAATATGCGAATTTTTCAAACTACAATATTATTTTTTATTTTATAATTGCCAACATTTTCAATTTTGAAAAGCATAAAACATATTGAATCTTACATATAGAAAAATAATTAAGAATACTCTTAAAATAAACAAATTATTTATGTAACAAAAATCATTAATTCAAAAAAAAAAAAAAAGTCATAAATTTTGTCCTTTTATTTTAGAATATCTATTAAAAGGATAGGAACCCATAATTAAAATATTTAATCTATATCAATATATTTAAAGAAAAAAATATATGTATACGTTCATATATGGGTTATTTTTGAAAATTGAATGCTTATAAATTTTATTTGGTGAGACATTAAGTTATTTAAGTGGTTTTCATTTGTTTAGTGATTTTTGCGAGCCTATTATTATATTAAAACGATAAAATTTAATGTTATTTACAATATGTATATTATGTAAAAATTGGTAAGTCAATAATGCAAGACATTAAAAACAAAAATTAAATTAATTTAGAAATCTTATAATAATATGTTATGAGATTTAATTTTGTAAATTATATTGAGAAACTTGTTTTTAAATATCTAATAAAATTAAACAATGAAATTTAATAATTTTTTTTTTTTTTTTTACTCAAACTACAAATAATTTTGACAAAAATGCAGAGAAATTATTAAAATATTTTACTTTCTGAATTAAAATAACATGAAAAATCTAATTGATTATATATTTATTTAATTATAAATCGAATTTTAATTTATTTTTTATTCAATTCGTTGTTTTGTGCAAAACTGTATATAGAACATTGCATACATTTTTTTTTTTTACAAAAATATGGTCTTGCATTTACCCTACTTTAAAAATACGCTTATACATATTAAGTACAATTAAATATTTATTTTAATATAATATATATTGTTATTGTACATTTGCATATTTTGTTTATTCTTTCTTTTTAAATTAGCTTCTTTCAAATTAAAAAAAAAAAAATTTTAAGTTTAATGACTGTGTCCATGTCCTCCACCATGACTATGGCCATTACTAGGACAAGCATGGCTATGATTATGTCCACCAAATATATTCATTAATTCATGTTCATATATTGCAATTAATAGCATAGACATTAATCCTCCAACTAAACCCAATAATTGTAAGAAAATTTGTTGTACAGTATTATGAGCTGATGTCATTTCAGGCATCTTAAAAAATATAATATTTTATTATAGAAAATTACATAAAATAAGAAAAATTTATTTATAAATTTATTTACCATATCTACTAAAGCAATATAAATAAAAAGACCGGCAGCAACTGAAAACATCCAACGAGATGCATCATCATTTTCACCGAAAACAATACCAAAAATCATTCCAACAAAACTTAAAATTGCTGTTAAACAGTTATAGGCAACAGCAGCTTTTGGTGTCATACCAGCTTTAATTAAAATTGCAAAATCACCTAATTCATGTGGAAGCTCATGACAAAATACAGCCAAAGATGTTGAAAATCCTCCAGGTATAGATTCAGAAAATGCAGCACCTATTATATTAATAAATTTTTTTGATAATAAAAATTTAAAAAAAAAAGTTGACAAAAAAAAAATTGTTTACCAATTGCCATCCCATCTGTGAAATTATGTAAACCATCACCTAAAATAATCATCCATGCTACAGCACTTATTGTTGATGGTGGTGAATGAACATGACCATGTTTATGTGCATGTCCATGATGTGTATGATCATGTTCTCTTAATATTACTGAAACTGGAAGTGGTCTATCATTTTCATGATTTACATGTACTCCATCACCTACAGTTAAAAATTAATATTTAATTTAATTAAATCACAATCAATAATATCTTTTTAAATTTACCACGATTTTCTTGATGTGAATTCTGTTGTCCAATATCATCTTTATTTTCTCCTGTTACTTCATCATAGCAATAATCAGTACTATATTTACTTTTACAAAGTTTATCACCAGCACCATCTTCAGTATGATTAGCAGTCTTACCTTGTTCACGAAAAACTGGAACACTTCTATTTGAATTAGCTTTCCTTCGACTTTTTTTACGATATTCTGATATTAATGTAAAACTATTTTCTACCAAATAAAAACCGATTATACCAGAAACACATACCAATCCTTTGCGTACCATTTGTTCTTCGGTAGCGCATATTACAGACTACAATTATAATTAATAAGAAATATAATTTTAATACAAACAAATATAAAATATTGTAACTTACATGTGGTATTAAATGCAATAAAGCATCTCCAGTCATTGTACCTATAGCTAAAGCAACTAAAAATGATAAAATTTGTTGATAAAATTTTGTATTCATAAATGGAATTATTGCAATTCCAACCAATCCTAAAAGTCCACATATTACAACAGCCAATGTTGAATAAGTCCAAACTAAAAATAAATAGAAGAATATGAGAATCAATTAAATTTATTATCATTTTAATTAAAAATATGTTTTTTTTTTTTCTTTTGAATTCTTACTTAAAAAGTGATCTTTTTCATAAACTTCTGGATGTGTATGTTTGGTTTCAATAACATTTAAATTTTTATTTTGTATACAGCCTTGTTTTTCATTTAAATTTGGTGATAATAATTGATATAATATAATTGGACACATTGAATGTATATTATTTTTAGTTAATTTATAAACTGGATCTGCTACTTGATATTGTTTTGCTAATTCTGGATTTTCTCTAACTAATTCATTATATTCATTTTGAAGATTTTCTTTTACTTCTGGATATAATTTTTCAAATAAATGATTAATACTAGAACATTCATTATCATTATTATTATTATTATTATTATCAATTGAATTAATTGTAATATTATTATATTTTAATTTTGTTAAATTTAATGTATCCATCATTATTTCAAAATCTTTTAAATTCATTTCACGTCCTTTTTCACCATAATTTAAAAATATTTTTTTAATAAATTCTTTTGTTATTGGTGATATATCTATATTATCATTATCTTCATTATCATGATCATGTCCAGCATGCCTACGTTGTCTTATTAAATTATCTGGTTTTATTAATTTAATATAACTATTTGGTGTTCGTTTTCTATATGGATTATTTATATCATATATATTATTATAATAATTATAATTATTCTTATTATTCTTATTATTATTATTATCTGTATATTTTGAATCTAAATTATCATATGAATTTTGTTGAAATCTAGGATGATTTTCGAGATCTTTTATTGTTAATTGTTCTTTTTTATTATCATTATTATTATTGTAACTATGATCATTATTATTTTTATTCTTTGTTTTATAGTTATTTTGATTAACTAATGTATTAAAGTTCATATCATTTTTTGTATGATCATAATTTAAATATATAGGTGGCATATTAGATATTTCTATATCATTTGAATCACCATGTTGTTGGCATGCTAAATGATCTGCATGTAATAAACAGAACAAGCATACTGTTAATATACTTTTAGCTCGAAAAGCCATTTTGTGCCTATATATTAATTAGGCAGAATGAAAAAAAATAATTTGTTTTATTGAAATAAAAAAAAAATTAATTTAAAAATTAATAGAATTGTAATTCTATTTTTTTTTTTTTTTTAATTTTAATTCTGTTCAGGAGATCAATTTAATCTGCGCCAATCAATTAAAATTTTGATTATTCCCCAAAGTAATTTTAGTTTTATGTGCGATTACAATATGAAATCAATCTGAAAATATAAAAGAAATAAAAATTAAATTAATAAAATTAATAAATTAAATTAATTAATTAAACTATGTCCAAGTTAAATTTTAATAAATATAATCCAAATTAAAAAAATATATGCTCCAAAATATAATTAAATTAAATTTATCTCCAGAAACATAGGAAAACATTTATTTGGAAAGTGTAATTTGAAATTTATAGAACATAGCTCTCTACAGGGAATATAAGATGAAAACGGCAGATCAATATTTCTACTATAATTTCGATTTATTGTACTAAACTTCAGTGGATTACTTTAGAATATTAAATGAGATGCGATCAAAATCAAATCTCAATTAAATCTGATTTTTTTTATATTGATTTTTTTTTTAAATATTGCATACTTTTAGGTGCAGCTTATATTGTATACTTTAGGTGTTACATTATATTGAAATATATTTATTGAAATATTGAATAGGAAGTCAAAATTAAATTACTCTAGAATATTAAATGAATAATTTACAATATATTGAAATATTTTAAACAAAAATGTTAAAAATTTAGTATGTAAAGTAAACGGGAAACAAAAACGAGAATTTTAACAGGAATCGCTGTTAAAATGGCACGTAAGGCAATATACAAGCAAATGTTCGTACATTGACCAATCCAAGTGAATGGTTCTATTGATAGAATTACCCCTATTTAAATTAGGGGTCAAAATTAAATTACTCAAAAACAATATAGAATTACCCCTAATTAAATTAATGGTAATTCTATATATTTCAATAATTCGATAATTTTTATTTTCATTTTTCATTTTACTTGTAAGAAAGAAACTTCAACTCATATAAAATATGTTTTTAATTCCAAATGACAACTTCAATATAACAAATTTGTTATACAATATCAAATTATTATCAGTTTATTGTTAGAAATGAAAAAATTCAAATTTTCCAAAAACCAACAAAAAAAAAACTAAAGTAAATAATAATAATGAAAAAAATAATTTCAAGGGTAATTAGCCCAAAATAATATGCATTTTTTGTTACATAATATTATTATTTATCAGATAAATTAAAATAACAACTTATTGACACGCAATTTATACTATATTCTTATATATACTATAAAAAGACATGCTTCCGAAAAAAAAGTAATCAATAAAAACAAAAAAACCAATTTCTGACCTCGTTAAAACACAAAAAAATATGACTTAATTATATCAAGGAATTAATTATTGTCGATTTGGAATAAATTGTAAATGGTAAATTAAAAGAAATGTTGTTTTATTATTTTGAAAAAAAAAATTCAGTAATTTTACTTTTCCAAAAAAAATTTTTGAAAAAAAAGTACTTATTAGTTTAACTCTGTTCGGCCGTCTGTCCGTGTGTCTGTTTATAAAATTTCTACACTCTTGATCTTTACTAGAAATTTATTTCCATAGAAAAAAATTTTTACTTATCTCACACCCCTCTCTCTTTTAAAGTTATTTAAAATCCATTAGAAGTTTTTAAATTTTACAAACGCAAAAAAGTAGTGGCTGGCTTGTTATACCGCGTCATACCATATTTGAACGTTAGAAAAACAATATGGCCGCCAAATTTTACTGTTATCTAAAATAATTCCGTTTTTTGATTTCATTTCAAAAATTTTTGATATCGTTTTTCTTCTAGGCCTTTAGGGAGTCTAAAATTTTAGCAGCTTTCCCACACTAATAAAATAATTAATTTCGTTGAAAGAAATCCATCACCTCTCAAATGATCACCATTCTAAATTTGCAAAATTTGAATTTTTAGCATCTTGCAATGAAGAAGCTAACGGTACATTTAATACCATTAAAAAATATAATTATTTCCCTTAACTCATGCAATTAACTCTTAAAATCAAGCATTATGTTAAATTTATTTTTACTTTATTTCAAAGACTGCATAAATCGTTCATCCTAAATATATGCAATCCTAATGAAAATAATTTTAATAGTGTAGTAAGTATGCATAAATTATTTTTAAAAGCAGTATTTTTTTACTTGTCATCATACCTATACTACGATATTAAATTTAATATTAGATTTTAATTAAAATTTAATATTATTAGATTTGATTATTTGAAAAAATTCTAATTAAATTTCTGATTTAAAGTACATATATGGCATAAGAATGTCCGATAAGTATTTCATGAATGAAATTTTAGGAAATTGAAAAAAATCTTAATAATTTTAATTTTATACTTTCAATTTATTAATTAATAATAATATAAAATAATAAAAGAAATATAAAAATTAATAAAATTTCTTAGTCCGAACTATTATAAAATTTTTCGATATTGCAATTTATTCTCAAAATTATAGTAAAGTTTATACGAGTACTACAAAATTCCTTTTTTTTTAAAGTAAATTGCTTAAATTTTCTTGGTTCCGTCTTAGAAATAAATTAGTTTCCTTTTAGAATTCAATTGTATTACAAAAATTAAATGCTTGATTTACGAATTAATGCATAAAAATTCGAATTTGTTATACTTATTCAAATTTTCTTATCCAATTGCTCCTCTTTATACTTATTCAAATTTTCTTATTACTGTTTATTTATTAATTTTTTTCGAAATTCAATTATAATTTTTTTCGAATTTTTTTCGAAATAAATAAAATTATAAATTTAATATCGAATTTCGTTTTCACTTTAACAATACTCACAATATTTTGCAATATTTTCAATATTAAATAATCTTATACTTACTAACATTATGTACTATAAAAATTTTAAAGTCTTATTCTAAGTCAAATTTATAACAGTATACTAAATAAGAGTATATTTTTTTTTTTTAGTTACTAATGCGTTATCACCATAAAAATTAAATTCTGAATGAAAATTTTAATTAATAATGTGAAAAAGTGATTATTTACTAAAAGATAAGTACATAATTTTCTAATTTACAAAAATAAAACTCAATATCTATAAAGGCGAAAAATCACCTTTCATATACTATAAAATCAGAAAAATTAAAATTTAAAATTAAAAAGAAGGAGAAAAAAAACACAAAAATTTAAAACGTTTGATCGATTCTTAAATTAAAAAAAAAAAAATACGGTAATAAAAATATCAATAACACTGTGTTTACAACAGACACAGAGAAAAAAAAACACCTTCTAAATAATTTGTAAACAAAAACAAAAATATTTTGTAATAAAATATCGATTTTTTTTTTTTTTTGAAATTTTAAAATTAGGTTTCTAGTTAGTGTTTTTTTTCTTTGATTTAATTACTATAGAAATAACACTTTCATTCTTTATTTTTCACGTTTTCCTTTATAAAATATTTGTATGTACCAAAATGTTGAATTATCGTATAATATAGCACTTATAACACAAACAAACACAAATAACATGAATTTATAGTAAACATACAATACAATTTTCGCGCCTATTCAAAGGATAATAAAAATTATCCTTTTGAATGTCCTTATAATAGTTAATCATGCAATTGTTTTAATTTTATTTTTTCGATTTCAATTTATACTTGACCTATAATTTTTTTATTTAATAATAAAATTATTAAAATTAAATAATTTAAATATTATTTTTATAAATTTTAAAAATCTCTTTAAATGATTAATTAACTTGAAAAGTATTAATCAAAGATTAACATTTTTCAATAACACTTTCCTTACATTTATATGAAAAAAATTAAAATTTTAAATTATTATAATAATTGTTTCTTTTATTTATTAATTTCTGTATAAGTGGTGGGAGTAAATAAGGAAAATTTTAAGCATCATTGAATATTATTATTATAATTAATAATTTTAATTTATTAATAATTAATTTTATTTTTTTTTTTAAATTTTAGAGTAAAAAATAGTTTTTAGACAAAATTTTTTACCCGAAATAAAAATGTTGGTTTTAGTTGAATGATTTTCGATATTATATAGAAACAATTAAAATATTTTTTTAAATAATAATTTCGTAATATTTAAAAAAAAATTTTATTTTATCACAAAAAAAATTTATTTTTTAATGCCTCATTTGTTATGCAAAATTGAAAATCATCTTCAAATTAAATAATGTTTTTTTTTTGTGTAGGTATGTTGCGTTGCTTTGCATTACGTTACGTTAGCTACTGATTATATTGTAGTTAGCTACTACTAGTGTTTTATGGTTCGAGTGTTTTCCGAATATTTTGTATGTTACTTGTATAAAAAGTAGAAAAATATTTTATTTCATAATTTAGTTGATTTTTCAATATTATCTGAGTATTATTTTAAAACATAACACCATATCTTTACCACATTTTCTTATATGCAAATTAATTTTTTTTCTTTAATTCAGCAATTTTGAATTTGAAAAAGTGTCAGTCGAAATTACGGTAATTTGCAAAGTTTATTCAGTTTAAAGAATTAATCTAAATAAATATTTTGGTATATATTTTGAATTAGCTAATAGATTCAAGAATAAATTTGAATTGCCCGCATTTTTACCGAAATCCTTTCTTCAAATTCTTTAAACAAATTTTATGTTCGTTCAAATAATTCGAATAATTTGTTGACAATTTGAAGATGTTTGCATCTTGAATCTTTTGATTAGAAGTACATTCAAATTTTCATTGTTATTATCAATTAGAAAAAGATTTTATATAATAAATAATAGTTGTGACAGTCAAATTAACAAGTTTATTATTTGTAAACCGGTTTGAGATGGCTCTTAATTTGAAAGAATACATGTAAGTAGAAAGAAAAAATTTATAAATTTCGACATTAATAGAATTTACAACTAGTTTTTAGTTTTAAACTTAGGATAGTTTGACTAAAACTATAGCATTTCTATGAATTTGAGGAGCCATAATTTACAGAAGAAGGGGAATAGTTAAAAATTTTGATTAAGAGAAATAATGCTTTCAATAAAATCTACGTATATCCGTGCAAAATTTAATTTTTCAATGTTTGACGGTGTAGAATGTTTCCAAAAAAAAATGAGCAAACGGACAGACAGAAGGAAATGTTTTGAAAATATAATAAAATCTAAATATGTCAAAT